ACACACACACACACACACACACACACACACACAGAGAGAGAGAGAGAGAGAGAGAGAGAGAGAGAGAGAGAGAGAGAGAGAGAGAGAGAATGAAAAAAATGTCTGCCTCCATGAAAACAGGATAAACGTATTGGCTCAAGCGGGCCATCTACTTCACTGCCCACATCTCAAGATTAGAAGGAAATACATAAGCATCCTGCCAACTGGACCTGAAGAAAGGGCAGCCTTTCTTCGAGGGCTGGAGCAGAAGCAGCGGCAAGGCTCTAGGGCTGGGCAAATGCAGCAGATCACACAGAGTGGCTCCCAGACTGGGCAGTCACTGCCACCTGGAGGCCAGATAGGTACACCTTACACGTGAAAATCCCACACAGGCCAGTGTGCATTTCAGCATTTGTTATCTCATTCAGAGCCCTCCAACACCTCTGTGGGCAGCTTATCATCCTTTATTGACAAAGAAAGAAACAGAAGGATTAAGAAAGAAGCGAAGCATACTATGCCCACAGTAGGAATAGCAGAGCTCGGGCCTGATCCAAGCACCAGATCCTGTCCAAGTTAGCATGGCCAGCGGGGAGGGCTTAATGGGAAGGAGGAGGGTCTGCAAGAATACAAAATGACTGTGAAGGCAGTCAGAATGCTGGCACTTTAAAGCCAGTCACAGGGTGCCACAGGTTCCTGAGAGTCCATTCTACCATGTTCTGGGGAAGGCTCCAGAAGCCATGCCTCCAGCATGGACAGCCTTGCCCTGGAGGCATGTGGCTGGTCCAGAGCTCATACTGGAGACCTGTGGTGATGTGCCCAGTGCTCAGGACTGATAGCTCAGGATGATGTGCAGCGGGGTGGATGGGTAATTAAGGCACACTGGCAGAGGACTCTAGCCTTGCCAGACTCCTCCTCTGCTGAGCATTTCGGGATGCCTGGGAGTGCAGATGGAGACAGGATCTTACCTGATTGGCTGTGGCTGAAAAGTTTGTTCTCGGTGGAGGCTCCATCTGACATTCCCGATCCTACAGAACAGGGACAACAGACAGGAGAGCCACAGATGGTCTCACCTCCCTCCCTCTCACTCAGCCCAACAGCACCTCTTCAGGAGAAGCATTTTAGTTGGAGCTGAGGAAGGAACAGAACAGAACTAGGGAAGGAAAGCAGAGCCTGGTGAAAGACTGAATTGTTTAAATCCCACGTTTAGTTTTTCATTCTGGCCTCCGTCAGTCGCCTAACCCAGAGAGCAAAGGCAGTGATGATCAATCACGATGGTTTTCAATCAAGGAAAGGCCCAGGTGGGGGATGGACAGACTTATAAGGAGCCAGCCTCCAGACACGATGCACAGAGGCCAGCCTCCCACAAGGCCCAGGGCTAACGCCCCTTACAAGAGAAGGCTTCTCCCCAGTAATGGGGTCTCCACATGCAGCGTGCAAGTTGCTCCCTCCCCACTACGTATCACCCTGACTATCCGGCATCAGCCTAAGGACTACATAGGGTGACGAGAGTCCATCATAGAAGAACTACTGTAGAACATTCGTGTGAGTGTACCGCACCTAAAACCCTGTCAGGTTCTCTCTCTCAGCCTGGTTCTCAGGATCTTTCACAGTCAGGGAATGTTCTAGTTTTTCCAGCTGATCTGCCACAGAGACCATCAACTTCTGTTACATTCTTTCAAGACTCTCCATGCCCGTGGCACACTGCGGTCTTGATTTCTACTCTCTCTTCCCAGGCTAGCCCAGGTTTCAGCCTCTCAGTGGAGTCGAGGGTCCTAGCCTTTTTCTGGCTGACTAGATTTCTTACAGGGACTTGAATGCATGTTCCAGTTCTCCTTGGAGAGAGAAACTGTGGTCTTTCCTGTCCCCGCTGCCAAGCTCAGGCCTGCAAGGACTGGTCTCAGGCCTGTGTCTACCTTGCCATTGCATAACACAGAGTCTCAAAGTAAAAGGGTGTAGTGGAAAATCTACCCGGAGGGGGTTGTTGGAGGTCTGTGGAGGGGTGTGGAGGGGGATCTACCCGGAGGGGGTTGTTGGAGGTCTGT